GAAACCTTTGATTAATTGATTACACAATGATGATTACTCAAGTCACCAAATAACCACATTTGGGATAACAAAACTCTTAACCTATGTTTTTATAAAACACAGTGACACAAGCAGAATAGGACTCTGAAGGTTAATCAAAATCCATTCCTGACCTACTTACATTAATTATGTTCATTAGAATGGTGATGAATGCATGTCTCTGTTATCTATCTCCTTATGCAGTCACTATTTTATTAGTGAGTTCACATTATTCTGGGCAGCTTACATTATAAAAAAACAAAGAAAACATGAAAAATTCTCTTTTTGAATGCTAAGCATGGAAAACGATTATCTCCAAGCCATAGATTTTTCTCATATATGTCCAGTGGCTATATGGATTAAGTTCAAGAAGCTAGCCTGGGTTATAATCTATATGGCATTATTAATATCTCCTGTTTTTTGCTAATTGCCTTGAATACCCATGAATAAAAAAGCAGAATATGAATTGAAATTCTGTTGAATCGGTTGAACAGACAAACAAGAGAATACTTTTATATGTATTAATTATTTATTACACTATGAAAGACATGCTGAAAATTAATTCTGGGGTCCCTGAGAATAAAAAAAGAACAAAAGTTACATATATTCCTCAGAGAATGTTGCCTATCCTGTCTCAGAAAGCCCCTAGGCAGTCAGAAAAGAGACAACTGCTTCATCAAAAATATCTGAAAGCAGTTATGGAGTCATCACACTCGTTTTTTGGAGGCAATCCTCAGAGAACAAAGGGAGAAAAGATTTGTTAAGATGTGGTTAAAGTTTAAAAGATAGCTAAGAAACTTTTCTGACCCCAAATGTTTTTTTTAAAATGTACATTTCATTTAAATAGTGACTTGGATCTCATCTTTAATACAGAGATTTAACAGTAGTAGGTCCCACTTCTGTGACATGGGCTGAATGTGTGAAAGCCTTTCTTTTTCACACACTTAGCTAAGCCAACATCTGTTTTGGCAGACAGAAAGATCTTGAGATAAGTGACATAAAGAACAATTTATTGGCCAAAGCCAAGGGATGTGTTTAACATCAGATTTTATGAATATATCAATTGCTTGGTTCATAGTTTCCAAAGCTTTCTACTAAAAACTAGCGCTCATTGTGGAAAGTCTAGATGAGAGTGACATCACAATGACAAATTTTTCTTCCAGGATTCTAGATTAAAAGTTCTAGTCCTTCTGACAGGGGTGGGATTCTACCAGTTCACACCTATTCGCTAGAACGGGTTGTTAACATTCTAAGCCAGGGGTGTCCAACCTTTCACCTTCCCTGGGCCACATTAGAAGATGAAAATTTGGTTTGGGCCGCACATAAAATAAAATAACAGTAATGATACCTGATCATCCAAAAAAACCATAGAAAACATAGTTAACATATTAAATTTATTTGGAAATGAAGTTAGTGAGATGTTTTTATTATTAATTATTTATTAAAAATTATTTATTTTTTATCACAGTTTTTTTATCACGGTTTTTTTATCATGGTTTATTTTCCGGCCAAATTTTGCGGGGGGGGGGGAGAAAACTCGCCCGCCTCGCGCCTACCTCTCCTCCTGCAAATGGCCCGGCTGGATGAGGCAGGACTAGAAGGCAGAAGCAGCAGCAGCGGCGGGGGCAGAAGTGGCGGCGGGGGCAGAAGCAGCAGTGGTGGCGGGGAAGAAGTGGCAGTGGGGGCAGAAGCGGCGGCGATGGCGGTGGTGGCAACAGCAGGAGGTGGCGCTCTGACGGCGCCTGCTTTTTCTGTTGCTGCTTGGCCTGGCGCTCGCCTCGCCCTGCCTCGCGCCTGCTTCTCCTCCTCCTCCTCACTGGCTCTGGCACGAAGGTTGGGGTGGGCACTGGGCCGCATTACAAGGTGACCTGGGCCGCATGTGGCCCTTGGGCCGCAGGTTGGACAAGCCTGTTCTAAGCAGTTTGGAGAACCGGTTGTTAGAAGAAATTACTGGCCTAATCCTGTAAGGAAGGCAGGAAGGAAACATTCTGGTGTTTCTTACAGAAACTGCCTCTCCATTAACTCTTATTACATTCTTGGCAGGACTAGACTTCCTGTCTCAGGAACTTTTCTAGAGTTTTTGTCCCCTCCTTTGCTGGTACTTTGCTTGTGTGGAGTGATCATTGAAAAAAGTGACTTATAGCCAATTTTTCACACTTATGACTGTTGCAGCATCCCCACAGTCATTAGAGGCCAGGCAAGGAGATGCGTGCCTTGATATGAGTGATGTTGAGTTGGCCATGCCCGGACAACTCACAACCATGACCACCAAGCCATGTCCATCCAGTCACATGATCACCAAGCCACACCCACCACCTAAACCACACCCACAGAACCATTTGCTAAAAATTTGAATCCCACCCCTGCCTTCTGGGTATCTCTTGGTTAACTTTGATTTACAGACTGATAATGCATTGATTGCCTTTGGGCTGCCTCTGATACATCTCTGGGACTCTGGTTGCTCAGTGTTTTTTTTTCCCATAAAGTCTTGGTAATATATTTTCCCAAAGAAACAAAGGTATGTGAAATGAATCCCCTCCTGTTTACTATGTACATGTCATAATGCTTTCAACTGTGCTTATTAAATAATAAAGCTATATGTTTCTGTTCATTCTGACAGCCTCCTTTCATGCACTTTAGTTGCCAAATATGAAACCCTATTGGTTTACATCATTAATATTTCACTGAGGTTATGATAATCTATAAAATCATATGGGTTGCTAATCCCTACACAGGGTTTTAATATTTAATATGAAATATTAAAAATCATTTAAATGGCTACCAACTCATCCTTGATCCAATAAAAAACTATACTGGCATAAAATGCTTTGTCCTCATTGCCAATTTCTATCTTGCCACAGGCATACTGCCATTAAATACAGAGCTTGTTAAGGAAAGAGATGGGTGGATACCCTTAAAAGTGTTTTCCTCCAACCAAGCCCATCATCATGGAAAACACACTGCAGTCACTCTACTTAATACAGGATAGACCTGGGACCCAAAAGTGGATGACTTTTGATATCTAGATTTTATCTAACTAACAGGGGAAAGGGGAAACAGTGGGATGAAAGAGCTCCTCTGTTGTATCATGCACTATCCCATCACCTGTTAGCATGGCTAATTTTACTTGTGTTTAAAAATAACTTAACAAGCATGCAGGAAGGTTGTACAATGTGGCAGGAATCCTGCTGCCGTGTGCAATCCTTGTGCTTCTCTCAGCTCTCATAGGCTCATAGCAGATGCAAAATACAATGGAAGACTCCTTCTGGCTTACAACATTCCCACCCACCCTCTCAGTTCTTTGGGCTGCTTTTGAACCCAGGAAGAGTGCCAAGCCTATAATCAAAAGCAGCCAGGATAACAATTGCATGGTTTGGGTTTAGAGTACTGCATGCCATGAAGTGCATAGATTTTCTGCAGCCGTAATTGATCATCTACTGTTTGGGCTGACCCAGATCTCTAAACCAGAATTAGCTTGGAGGCAGCCCTGTTTGAAAAAAAACCTGTCTGTCCCATTCCCATAACACAAGGGTCTTCACACTTGGCAAGTTTAAGACTTGTGGATTTCAACTCCCAGAATTCCTGAGCTAACATGACTGGAGGAAGAATTCTGGGAGTTGAAGTCCACAAGTCTTAAAGCTGTCAAGTTTGAAGACCCCTGCCATAACAAAAAGGTCTTTGAGGACAGGGCCCAGGGAACGAGGAAGTCCACCCCAATCTAAAGATGCCAAAAGGTGTCAGATTGATTCCATAAACAGAGCCACTGGGTGAAACACATCAGACTGTATCCACAGCAAAGCTACTGATGCCTGCTTATTTTAACCCCTGAATGCATATGGTCCAAGACTGGGTGTCAGGTAATGCAGTGTCATGAAGACATGGCAGAAAAAAAAAGAGGCTGCTTAGTTGCTTATGGGGACAGGCCCTCAGTCACCAAGCCCAAATGAAGTGATCTTAAAATAATCCTGTTCTTCTCAACCTTTTACTGTATCTGAGAGGGAAATGAGGCTGTGAAATTACTCCTGTTACTTCATGCTCCGTGAACAAAGAGATGGTTATAATAAAATAAAAGTGTCTGAGTAGAGACCTATGACAAGTGTCACCTCTCATAATAGGCCGCACATTAAAATTCTCTCTTCTGTAAGTTGATGCAAAGTACTGGGCACAATGTTCTAGCTCCATTATCTGTTAGTTTGTTTTTCACACTTCTTAACTGCCCAGTCTCCCTCAGAGGAGGGAGATTATAGTCTTTATAGTATTTTCTGAAACAAGGGTTCCTGACCTAATGTGCATGTACTTCCTAGTTGGTGGAATGTAAGCAACAGTCTCTTGGCTTGCAGGGTGGTTTGTTGATCAAATATCCTTGCTTGCATAGAACAGCATAAGTATGTTTGAGATAAATCTGGCCTGTGATTGGTCAAAATGTATCCAAAGTGACCAGTAATGTGCCTTTAAATTCAGCAGGAAATGCTGCATCTAACACAGTTAACAAAGCTGGCAGGCTAGATTATTCCTTCTCTATTTTACTTTAAAAATAAAAAGCATTACATGAAAACACGGATTGACCAAAGCCACAGTGGGCAGCAGAACTGGAGGACCCATCCAGTGGTGTTTCCTTTTCCTTTTTTTTTTTCTCATGGAGTGCCTTTTACTTACTTTCCCCAAATTTTTAAATTATTTTAAATAATTTGAATTGTTGAATTATCCTATGATGACTTGTCCCCTGGCAAGTTGGCCATGGCAAATTGGCCTTGGTGAATTGGCCTGCTGAGGTGGCTGTGGCAAATTATCCCATTCTGATCTCTAAAGAGAAAAGCATGTATATTGTATAGACCCTCAGAATGATAGCCATCCTGGCACAGGCTGAGATGAGTGATAGTCTCGTACATCTGAAGAGAACTTGATTCAAGTAAAGGTGATCTTAATGTTTATTGCCATTATTGTTAATGAAGCTCTGAGTGAATCTGAGCTTAGAAACTTACCATTCACACATGTGATAAGAGAGACTATGACTGCCTGGATGGTGCAAGCATTCAGAACTGGATACTTGCTGAGAAAGCAGGAGACAGACTGGAGCAATTCAGTCAATTTAATTTCAGCAGGGACAGAAAGCATGCCTCCTGTAATAATAACCATAACAATAATTAAATCATCATCACTTTTATTTTGTGCCTTTGAGTCACTGTTGACTCCTGTAACTGCCTTGACTGGTCCCAGCAGTTTCCTTGGCTACATTTTCAAAAGTGGTTGGCTTCTTCCTAGGGCTGAGAGAGGACTGGTCAAAGGTCAGTCAGTTGGCTTTGTGCTTAAGGTAGAACTAGAATTAGGTCCCTTGGTTTCTAACCTAGTCCTCCAGATACTAAATTGTATCTAAATGGCTGTCAATAATAACAATATAGAAACAATATGATTTCTTGCAATTCTCAAGCCACTAATTTTTGGGATGAGAGTAGATAGAATATTGTGTTCTGTGCCTCAGATCCTATGAATATATCTAACATGACACATTATCTTCACAAATGCCCATTTCTAATTATAGGTTTGCCAAGATAACATAAGGAAGCATTGAAAGATGCATTTGTAGAAGGAAATTATCAAGTTGGAAGACTGGAATCTCCACTGGTTCCATTCTTCCAACTTGATAATTTCCTTCTGATTCCTAGTGATTCCTATCAGAATCCTTCTGATTCCTACTGATTTCTACGGATATTTACTTGTGCATTGTCTGGTTACAACCAATTTATCTCCTGCCAGGTCAGGGTCAGTTCTGATGTTTGAAGCCTTATTGGGACATACACTGAATAAAAATGGTCTCTGGTTATTTCTGACAGAGAATAAAATATGTCTAGTGAAGTATTTAACACCACTTTGCCATCTAAATTGTAATACAATTTTGTATTACAATTAACTGCCCAAGTTTAATATGGAATATGTGCACCTCATGTCTTACCCCCAACGAAATGAGATCATGATATATGGATATGAACTTCATTACCATTTAAGGCAAGGATTGATAATTTTGTAACTTCTGGATTCTTGGGCTTCAGTACCCATCAGTTTTCTACTTGTCAAAGGATTGATGGTTTTAATGGAAAGCTTCTGGTGGGCACTAATTTGTCTCTCCCTGATTTAAGATACTATCTTATTTTGTAACAAAGGATGAATGATATCCTGCATCGTCTATATTTTGTGTTTTACGCATATTGTATTGCACATATAAATGATACTTGATGATATGCCATTTCACATAATTTTCACTGGATCCATTTTTTTGCGTTATCACTTAAGGTTTTGGACAGAATCACCGAAGAAATACATATTTTGCCCCTGAGTCTTTAACTTCGCTTCTACTTGATGTTTGCCAACATTAAAACAAAACTGTCAGTGAAATAATGTATTATGAGAGTTCATTTTTGCTGTTATTTAAAATATTACTAGTGCAGTTTACATTGGCAGTCAAAAAGAGATGGATTATTAGATACTGGATCAGAAGGTAAGAACAGATAGGATGTAAGAGCATAGTTTAGGGGAGATGCTGGAAAAAAAAAATCTGTTCAGGAGCAGTTCTTGGTTGCTGGGCGCCATCTAGTGATCCTTTCTCACACCCTTTCTATTTATGCAAATAACAAGCCTCATTCATGATTTTTTTCAGGCCCAGAGCAACCTACAAAACTCAAAGAGCTCCTGGCCAATAGGCAAACTGCAGGATCAAGTTGCTTCTCCTTCAGCATTAGCAGAAAGAAATGGCTTTCTGCTAAAGCAGAACACTCTGGTGCCAAGTGCAGTTTTGGGCTGTGTGTGTGTGTGTGTGTGGTGTGTGTGTGTGTGTGTGTGTATTGCAGCCCCCCTCTGTATCCTCATTTAGGCTTGGGAAATTATGACTTTTAACTTCCCTAGTTTACCATTCTACCAGAGAGGTGTTTTTTTTTAAAAAAAAAACGATTCTCTGCCTGCAACAACCTTTTACAACTATGTTGTAAAATGAACATCCAGCCATGGTGGCCATTTTGAGAATGTGACTTTTTTCTAACACTCTGATGCTGATGTCTAGAACTCCTACTTTGTAAGAGTACCATTATAGGCAGGGTCCGGGGGATAGGACAAATGGCAAAACAAAGTGTTTTTTTTGTTGAATTATTCAGCAAACCAAGGAAGTTTCTACTAACTAGACCCTGATAAACATGCTTAGGGAAGATTAAGAGCTATGGTGGTGCAGTGGTTAGAATGCAGTACTACAGGCTATTTCTGCTGCCTGCCTGCAATTTGGCAGTTCAAATCTCACCAGGCTCAAGGTTGACTCAGCCCTCTATCCTTCGGGAAAATGAGGACCCAGATTTCTGGGGGCAATATGCTGACTCTCTAAACAATTAGGGATGGCTGTAAAGCACTATGAAGTGGTATATAAGTCTAAATGCTATTGCTATGCTATTGCTATTATTCGGTCATGGAGTGATGTATACGTCTAAGTTCTATTGCTGTCATTGTGGCTAAAACAGAGTGGTTGAAATCCAGAAAGGGATTTCTTAAACTGATTTCTAATCTATTTATCACAGAAGACAAGCACTTGAAGGCTTCAGTATGGAAAAATCCTAAGGCCAGGTGGAATCTCCTCCCTTAAAGGACGTTGCTACTGTACACTTACCCTCCTACCACTCCATCTCCACCTTTGCACAGCTGTGGCTTTATCTGCTACTAGAAGTTTATAATTATTATTTTGGGGAAGGCAGGAGGAGGAAGGAGTATCAGGTATGTTCACTGCCTTGTGTTATGAAATAATTATTTTATAATAATTGATAAAATATTAAAGGTGGGATAAAATAAGATAAATAAATAAATAGTGGTTGTAGGTATGTGGCTCCTTGCCTACTATAGATGGGCAAGATTGTGAATGAGAATGTATAATGAAGGGGGGGGGGAACAGGCAGCTGAGCTGCTCCACACCTTTTTATGTTCATGCATGTGTAAAGAGAAAGTCAAGAAGTCTAGAATGCCAGCCCTAGCTGTAATAATCTGATGTCTGGGGAGAGGTCAACAACTCATCCCATATAAATCTGAAACCATGTCTGCTTATGCCTCACCAATGAGATCTGGTGTCTCTTATTCTTTTCTTTTGTAATGATATGTAAACCTATTGCTAGTAAAGAATTCAAATTACTCTTCAAAGAAAAAAGAAAAAGATTCTCTTTTATATGAAAACACTATTTCCTTGAGGGAAAAGGCAAGGAAATGGCAACATATTAGGTTGCAAATACCGTAGCTCCTCTGTTCCCTCATGGGATGATAGGATTATATCACAGCTATTTATAACATGGCATCCAGTAGGTGTTACTGGTATCTTATGACTATCACCTTGTTGATAATATTTTATGATTTATGATAGTATTTTATGATTTATGGTTGTATCTTATGATTTATCACTTTGTTGCTTATATATATACTGGGAGCTTATGCACTGGAGACAAATTCTTTGGATGGCTAATCACACTTGGCCAAAAAAGAACTATCCTATCCTATCCTATCCTACTCTACTCTACTCTATTCTATTCTATATTTGTGTGATCCAAATGTGATTGGATACACAAGGAATTTGTCTGGGTGCAAATGCTCTCAGTGTACATAAAAGAAAGATTCACCCATAACCTGAAGAATAACATATCTGAAGTCTATCTTCTGGTGAGAATATTGATTGATTTGAGCACCATGACAACTTGCTAAAACAGCCCAAGGTTGAACTACAAATGGCAGATTAAGGATCAGATTTAAGATGGCTCTTTCAAAACCCATAAACGTGTGGGTAATTCAACCATTTGAATAAAGGTTTAACTTTATGTAGCTGCCATGTAATTTTGGATGCCCTTAATTGTACTGCTTTGTCAAAGTGAGCAGTTTTATGCAGAATTGTGCATCAAGTTACTGATTAATACCATACAACTATTGTATTACAGATCCACACTGTCCTCCACATCAACTTTGAATTTTCAGAGAGGAGATACAAAATTCTGCATCAATCCACCTTAATCCCACCTGTTAATTCCTTGGAAAACAATACACACATGAGAGAGAGAGAGAGAGAGAGAGAGAGAGAGAGAGAGAGAGAAACATTACTTTAGGAAGAGGGAAGAAGAAGAAAGCAAGGTCAGAAAAATCTTCCCAATATTTTTGTTTATTACAGCGATACAAAAATATCTGAAATATAAAAATCTGTAAAGATACGAAAGGACATTATTGTTGTATTCATAGGCTAGAAATTTAGAGAATGGTGCAATAGGAGTTTTAAAATTAATTGTCTACATCCAACACAAAATTAAGCACATTTAAGCCCATGGATTTCACTTGGCTTGTGGTCATTAAGTATTCACCTCTTAACCTCATTTGGCTTTAATGGGATAACTTAAGAGTCTTTTTTTAACCCAGAAACAAGATGGGGCCAGCTATATATGTAAAACAATTAATTACATGTAATTACAGGCAAATAACTCCTAAGTCTGACATCTTTCCTGCATTTTAACAAATATATTAAAGCTTCTGAATTAATATTATGTTATACTGAAACACAATTTGATTACAAAACCACCACACGGTGGCTACAGTGCTAGATTTGAACCCAATATTTAAATACCAATATGGGGGTGGGGAGAAATTAAATTCTGGGAGCCCAAAGGAACTGTGGTTCAAACAAAATACAGAAGTTGAAATAAGTGATTAAACTGTCATCCTATATCATGGGGTTCTCATGAGTAGTAGTCTCCTCTGATCTCCTAGAGGATGTTTAATTAAATTTATTTTATGGAATAATAGAAATTATTCCCTCAGAGATAAGATTGGCCTCAACTTGTTTCTTCTCTAAAAGGCCTTGAAGCCATGGTTTTGTCAGCAGTTTGGGGATTCCATTTGAAGCCAATTAAGTGGCTTGTCTGATTTTGCTATTGCCGTCATGTGAATTTTTAGTTATAGATTTTTAATGTTGCACACCACCCAGAGTCATTGTGTGTGAGCTGTGCAGCTAAATAAATTTGTTTAATAATAAATAATGCACAAGATGAAATTGACAAAACACACACCAGTAAAAAAAAACTTCCAGCACTTACCATCTTGTTGTAAAAGTTCCCGGAAACACTGGAATTTTTTATCTATGTCTCGTAGATTTTTGGCAACTTGAAGGAGATTGTTAGAACAGAATTTACTACCTTTTAGGCCTTCTGAAATGGCCCAAATATCACGCAGGCGTTCTGGAATATTGGCTAAGGATTGAACATCCAGTGCTGACTGCTTGCCATTGCAAGGGTACCTGAAGTCATTGGGATCCATCCTCAGAGCCCACTTAAGAGATTATATTCACCACTGTTGTTCCTTAGTACTAGCAATTCTGAATTATGTTCCTTACCAGGATAATCTACCAGCTCCAGAATCTAATGTAGCACACAAACCCAATTAACTCTCAAGCCTCCAGGTCTTTATGTTTTTCCTTGGTGCATTATTCTCAGTTTCCAGAAAGATATTCCTGTACTTTTATAAAAATCTAACAATTCCTCTGACAAGTCAGAGTTCAATAACGGCAGCTGAAAAATCTTCATCGTTCAAGTGAAGTTCAGGAGGGCAGCGATCTAGATAGGTTGAGGAGCAGATGCCCTCAATCTCTCAGCATTAAAAGAAGATAAACGGTGATGGTTTCCATTAAAATGTCCAGCTCAACAATTTTGTGAAATACAGTCCCAGCTCAAAAGCAAGCCTTGCATTTTCTGTAGAGAGGAAAATATGGTCCCTCGAAAAGAGAGGAAATGGTCCTTTTCAGAGCTCCCCCAAAAGGTTATTGAACAAAAGTGTTTCTAGAATGTGACATTAATTCTGGAGAAGGTTGCCTCATCTTTCCCAAAAAGTGAGTCTCCTGCTTACTTTCTCTTTGAAATGTTGTACCTTTAGAGATCAGAATGTGTCCAGCTGCGACCTGCCATTCTTACTCTCAATTTCATCTGAGAACTAGATGCGGAAATGCCAGGACACGTCCCCTATCTTTGGAGAATGGATGAGCCATTTGGGTTACACACACAAGAATGACAGCCGATGTGGCTTTTCCACATTCCTTTTGCAGGAGTGATGAAACCGGAGGCTTCTTCCCACAGTATCTCTGTACTACGTGAAAGAAAGACAATCCTCCTCCTTTACTCTCTCTTATTAATCACTTCCTACCTGAATCCCTTGGAAAAGTTTTCAGGGTGTGGTTCCAAGGCCACAGATGGAAGGAGAGCTTTCCCAAATGGACGTCACAATTGAATGAGAGAAGACTTGCCTGCATTTTTGAATTTTATTCCTTTCTCACACTAAATTTCTGCAATTTTGAAAGCTAAATTGTAGAAATTTAGTGTGAAAAAGGGAAAAAAGGAAATAGTTAAAAAAACTAAATTATGAACAAGGGAAGTATCCCTTGTTCTTTGCACCCTTCCAGTACCACGAATAATGAAAATTTTTTCTAACACAATACTCTGAAGGATGGTGAGAACTGAAGTCCTAAATACCTGGAAGCCACCATGATCTTATCTTGTATCTTATGACCGCCCCCCCCACCTTCAAAATGGAGATAATAATTTATTGCAAGGTAGAGATGGACAACTCAGGTACATCTTTGTACATACAATGAATATTTGTGTATTATCTGATAGTGCACACATTTTGTGGCCTGATCTGACAGCTGACATTGCCCTCAGAACTAACAAGATTGCCTGCCCCTACCTTGCAGGGCTGTTGCAAGACTAAGGCAATATATACTGAGGTAGAGAAGCTCTTTCAACTAAGAGCCAACTGTTTTCCATATTAAAATATTAAGGTTCTGCATATTTAATTACAATGCTGAATCCTCCTTGTAAAGTAGATCCTGGATCCCATATGCAGGTTGAGGTTGAGACTTCTCAGAGAATGGGAACTGGGCTAAGATCACATGGTCAATTCATTGTTTGAAGTTAAATCCAGATCAGCAACTTTCTAAAGCTAAATACTGTGCCATATGTACTCAATTTGCAAGATTAAGATGCTATTCAAATTCAGGAGCAGAAGCCTTTCATTTGTAAATAATCCAACCAGGAACAAAATATTTTTATCAAAAAAGAAAACAAAAAGGTTCTTAACTAGCCTGGGAAAAGATAAAAAGAAAATTTAAAAGCCTGGCCTGTTCTAGTTCTTGGAATAGATGCCCGGTATGCAAAAACAAGCAGGTAATTTTTCCCCCTTTCTTCCTTTCTTTACAGTATTAAATTTAAAAGAAAAGAGGAGCCTAGCATCAATTTCATTATATTTTAGATTGTTTCAATTAGACATGATTTAGGTTAGGAAGATAATATTTAAGAATGCATGAAGTAATACTGCGTTAGGTCTAAGAAAGAAAATGTTTTAACAATTGCATGAAAATATATCACAATAGAAAGAACCACAAGACATTAGGCAACATGTCTTTTCAAAATTCTATTTAATTAAACAACAGGGTTACTATACACTCATGTTGCAGAAAATAACAGGACCTGTACTAATTAGAAATAATAATTGTAGCAAGTTAGACAAAATAATCCTTGTAGGTTTTCATGATGGTGATGATGATGCATTATCCATAATTCTTGATACTTCAATAGATCTCAATTATTGGGAAAAAAGCTAGAAAAAATATTTATTAGAAGTATTATGAATCTCAGATCAAAATATAGCAATAAGCTGACAAACCCAAATTTCCTACAACAGGGAAATTATAACTCATTCTGGTTGTATGCACTTGAAGGAGTGGTTATATATTTTCAAAGGGATCTGATAAAAATATGTGTTATGTGTCAAATGCCACTTATTACATTTCTTTGAAATAACAATTCTCATTCATTATTCCAAAGGTCACAGAACTAATATTATCTGTGCTTCTTTTTTCACTTCTGCTTGTTAACAAACAATATTGTACTATTTTACTTCTCCAGTACAAATTCTGACTACCCCTGCTCTGGATAGTTTCTATTTTTAGATGAAGTAAAATGTACAATCAGTCTCTAAAAACAACAGTTAGCTTTTCACTGTTTGAAATATAGCATTGCTATGCTATGACTCATGATACTATAGAATTGAAATTTTCTGCCTTCACCGGGTCCCTAAGAAAGGATGTTTGCAGTTAGGAGAAAGAGTTATTTGTAAGTTGAGAGTGGCCAATGGGTGACTGAAAGAAAAGGGGGGGGGGTGGAGGGGGGAGAGAAGGTAATAGAGATTGTAGAGAAGGGATGGTATTAGGTCATCAATAAGGCTTTGTGCATTTGGATTTATTCTTTTAAAACATCTTTATATGTTTGACTATACTGCCCATTGCAGGGCGCCCACAAGCAAGCCAAACAATTAAGAGTTTAGAGTCACTTCAAACCTGAGACTTAAAAACAAACAGACTTCCTGGTTCAGCAGGGACGAAAAACTTCCTCTCCTGCTAAGAGTTGGTGGCAGCTTGCCCAACTAAGACAAATATCACCTGAGGAACTCTGACCCTGGCAAGGGGATAGAGTTTGATGCCAGAAAATCAAAATAATTGCTGAGAGTTGGTGACGAAGTGTTTCTCCCCCCCCCCAAATGTAATTAAATGAGTTGTTGCAGACAACAAAATGTTGGTGGATTCTCTCAGAAGGGAACTCTGCATGGGAAGTGTTTTATGGTAAAGCATGCAAGCAAAGCTATTTTCATTTTTCTCTTGCATGGTTTCTGTCATTATTCCAGGAAAGAAAGCTCATTGCAGCCCCAATGATTTCCTAGAGCTAGGCATGCTTGTCAAATCAGTGTATTTGGAAGAAGTGATTTAAATCTGGGGCAAGTGCTGAGCACAGCACTTTTGCTATTCATTAAAACATCTACTCAACTTCAGACTTCTGCCTAAAGCATAAAAAAATGTTGTAGCTTCTTTAAGGGTCACAGTGACTTTAATCATTTCACCCTTTCAAATAGACAAGCTTTTTTTTCTCCCAGGCTCATCAGAAAGTCTGTAAAAAGAGAGAGAGTTGTGTGCTTTTGAGGTCTGAAGCGCTTCCGAATTATTGTCAGTGTTCACAGCCCTATTGAGTTCCTTTAGTGGATTATGACATATGTTCATTCCAAGTTCCAATTACAATAAACACTATATACATATCTAATAATTTCATAGCTGCAAATTTTAGATTTCTTTTAGAAAAAAAATTCAGATTTTCAAATCTCAAAATCCACCTGCAATTAACAATTTCTGTGTCCAACCACAGTGTGGTTGTAGATATCTAAAGGACATATATGCCTGTTTTAGGTGATGGTTTGGGAATACTCAAGTTCACCAACCTGAAGTTCCATGAAGAAGAAACATCTCATCAGGAGACTTCACCCTGATCACCACTTTTGCTTCATGTTTTTCTTTTGTTTTTAACCAGTTTGTACTTGAACCGCCGAAGGGGATCAGTGATACTTCTCAGGGTCACATCCTCAAAATCCTGAGCTAAAAGGAAACTCCTGTCCACCAAATCAGCAGCCTCTTGCCAGTTCTTGAAGCAATCTGTGCCTTGCTGTTTGATTTCTTCCACAGCATTGTAGGCAATGACTTCCCCATTTGGTTTCAAAACGACCACCACAGGGGGATGGGTCACTGAAAATCTCAATGCCAACTCCCTAGGAATGTTTCAGAAAGAAAGAATAAGTTTCTGAGCTGGAAGAATGTATTGGGATTCTCATAGCAGGAAAGCTGAAAGAGGTATCACAGACCTAAAGCTGTCTTAGTTTTTTAAAATTATTCATTTGTTTGTATAGTTATACCAGGATACAACAATTGTATCCATTGATGATCCATCAATGGATAACAATTGTTGTATATATTATCATCAATATATAATAGTCCCAAACATGTGTTGTCAATTTATTAAAAAGAGGTTTTCCACCTGCAGTTGGGTGGGGCAAGGAAAGTCCTTATTAGTAGTCTAATAAAGACATCCTGGTTCTTTCATCTTTTTTTTTTTGTTCTGAAAATAAATGAATTTAGAGAGATAAAAATGATTAATGCCCCCAGGCTGCTTTAGGTCTCTTCACATTTTCCTTGGCATCTTCCAACATCTCAAAGTTACATTTACCAGACTGTATTTTTAACAGTATACTCTGGTAATCTCTCCACATTTAGCATGGATAAGGGTCCAGCTCACCCTTGGGTCTTTCCTGAAAGCATTTATTTGTAAACTTCTTTCCCTTTCCCCCATAACAGGTTGGATCTCTTGCTTAGCCCTGTGACATCACCATATAATTAATGTTCCTACTTCCAACAACATAGAGAAGAAGAGACAGGAAAATGCAAAATATGCTATTACAATATTATGGCCCAGATCACTCAGCATAGAGGTCTTGTTTTCAGCATTAGGCTGTCTGTTCCTACTCTCCCTGATGCATCATCTCCCTGATGATTAAAATCCTTCTTTAGCAAGACAGTGAAAAGAAAACATTCAGATTAGCAGTTAGAGAGATCCAGCATGAAGCTCTTGATTAAGCAACAGCTAGGCTCTAGCTGAGCAATGTTGTGTAACAAAGGAGCAGCAGCTAGAGAGAGCTGACACCCTGCCCTTATGTGTCATTATAGCCAGGATCCAGAACAGGGTTGCTTCTCAAGGTTGCTTAATGAGCTTCTTCACCAACAACTTTGAGCTTATCTCTACCTACTTACAGAACTTTCAGAGGCAAACAGATATAAGAACCAACCAGACATTAAACAAATTGGGTTGAAGTCCCTAAAAAGCACAGTATCAGCTCTTCAAGTAAACAACATCCACAGCAGAATTCTACAGACTTCTCATCCCCTGTGCCTGGTAGAAGATCCAGTTCTGGACAGCTTCTGGAAAGCCAGGAGGGTCAAGGCTATATTTAAGGAAAAGGAGGCTGTTCCAGAAGATGGGCATCATGATAAAGTTGACCCACTTCTTGCAGTGCACCAATGCAGTGCTCTGCTCCATTGATGGGTTCCAGAGTATGCCCACTCTGCTTGACCTAATGGGATGATCAGAAACCCTCAAGGATAGGTGGTCTTTCAAGGAATCTGGCCCC